GGCTAAAACTAAACAATCGTTCAAAAAGCTACTTGATCAACACATAGCCGGACAGTACCCTGGCGCGCCGTTCGACATACCGTTACCGGCATTCGGAGCGACCCCCACCTGGGGCATCTGAGCACCAGCCTTTGATTGTCGTACATTGAGTATGTTTGCAGATGAGATGATGTGGATATGTGAACCCCATCCATATTTTTACCTTACTCTGTCCTCGCTGACGTCAGATCTATATTCTGCGAACTAGGTCGGAGACCAGACGGTTGACCACTCGGTATGCATCACGAAGGTAACTCACCCAGGTGTTATAACAACCAGCTACCACTAGATACAACCCCCATCCAGGCAAGGCAGCGGGATTTTTATCCCTCATGTCCCAAAAAATATATTTATCTATAAAGATAAAAAAGGGAAACCCACCAGCTAGACAATAATACGAGGAGCACTCGAAAGTGAGTGATTGGTGACAGGATAAACGCGGGTCGGCTCCCAACGCCCCATGGTGTTGAACACAGAANATAATAATATCAATAGGAAAAAAGGGGTACCCACCAGGTTCCAATCGCAGGAGCCGTCAAAATAGCGAGATATCCTGTCAACCGATTAGGGAAAGAAAAATGAGAAAAAGACGGAAAAAGAAATGAAAGTAAAAAAGCCAAAAGAGAAATGAAACGTACAGGTGACTCGGCGGGAGAATCACTCTCTCGGTTAATCACTCGCAGTCGAAGACCGGAGTCGAGTGAGGGCACAGGGGTACTGCCTACCTAACTGCAAACAGCACTCATGCACCCGGTCACCCCACACAGTGCATTCATCTACACTCCAAAATCGTGGTCGGAGCGTCCACGTCATGCAGCCCTGGGGCAACCTGTTGGTCCAGTGCCAAGTAAGCTGCGGATGTGACTCTGTAAAGATGAGGGCGGAGACCCCCTAAAAGGACAACACCCCCGCCACGACAAACTCCCAGAAGGCCATCGCCTTGCGTGAGCACTTCCAGAGCGCAACACGGAGAATGACAAACTCCCAGAAGTCCATCGCCTTGTGTGAGCACTTCCAGAGCGTACACACGAAGGATGAGGTCATCCTGCAACCCATGCACCAGCCGGCAGGATCCACGCTGATGGAGGAAATCATTTTCCTACCGGATGAGGTGGAAGAGACCCTGGTGAGTTTAGATAGGGGAAAAGCGGTAGGACCGGACGAAATCCACCCAGCACTGCTTGGGCCTCTAGGGAGCATCTTGGCTGCCCCGTTAGCTCGCCTTTTCAATATGTCCATGGCGACAGCCACATTGCCGCAGGACTGGAAAGTAGTTACTGTGGCCCCCATCCACAAACTAACTATAGGTCCGTTAACTTACTCTCCGCGGTCCTAAAGGTTATGGAAAGGCTAATCAGAGATAAGATGGCCAGGTACCTCACCCAATGTTGCCTGTTGGCGGAGGCTCAGCACGGGTTTCGTCAAGGCCGTTCGTGCCTCACAAACCTGCTGGCCTTCCTGGATGCCGTGACTAAGCGGCTGAACAAAGGGGAGGGAGTCGAAGTCTGCTATCTGGACTTCAGTAAAGTTTTGACTCCGTCAACCATCGGCTGATGTTAGCCAAGCTAGGATCGATAGTGATCCACCCTAATTTAGTCAGGTGGACTGAGAGCTACCTGACAGAGAAGACCTTTCGCATACGGGTGGAGAAGGATTGGTCGGAATGCGGGCATGCTTATAGCGGGGTCCCTCAAGGCTCGGTGCTTGGACCATTGTTATTTCTTCATCATCAATGATCTAGTTCCCCGTCTGTCGAACCCGACGTTCATCTTTGCAGACGACGTTAAACTACTTGGCTTGCATCAGGGGGTAGACCTCCAGCTTGACCTAGACGCAGTACAAGCATGGTCTACAGAGTCAGGTCTCCCTTTAAATGCAGCAAAGTGTAAGATCCTACGAGCTAGGAGTTCTCACGGTTTTGGGCCACGCTACATGGGAACTCGCGACAGGGATGCTATGACAGTTGTACCAGAGATCAGGGACCTAGGGGTCACTCTGAACTCCGCTTATAACTCCTCTGCCCAATGTCTTGTTGCGGCACCTACGGCCAATAGAGCGTTGTTCAGGTTGAAGCGCACAGTGACGTTTAGAGATCCTGTTGTGCTAGTCCCGCTCGACATGGCCTTCGTTCGGCTGCATCTGGAGTAATGCGTACAAGCTTGGTCCCCTAATCTGAAGAAGGACCAAAGGGTTCTGGAAAGGGTGCAGAAGAGGTTCACGCGCATGTTACCGCAACTTCGGGGAGTGACATATGCCTAACGCCTCCAGGGGCTGAACCTGTTCTCACTCAGTCGGAGAAGGCTGAGGGGGGGACCTAATCGAAAGCTTCCGTATCTTGAAGGGTTTCTCTCAGGGAATCTCTTACCTACTTCAGCCGAGCGGTGTGCCAAACAAAAGGGGACACAGCATGAAGCTAGAAAAGCCTCGGGCGCTCAAACGCCTGAGAGCCACCTTTTTCTCGCACCGGGTAATTAATACATGGAACAAACTGCCACAGGAGGTAGTGGCTCCAAAAACCATTGCCGAGTGCAAGCTGAAGCCTGACGCTTCCTGGGCATCAGTGTTCCCTGATTGTATCCGACACCGGGCCTAAGGTCGCTAAAAGCTCGTCCGTCTCCGGGTCCCCCACTTTTAACTTTTAACTCTTAACTCTTTATCTCTTACTACACTTTGTTCTCTCCAACTCCCTCAGCTCCTATTTTCATTCACTGTGCACCACATTTTACTGAAAGTTCTCAACATCCAGCACCACCACTTTTAGGACATTCATCTTCTCCCAACACAACTTTTACTCTGGGTAGCTCGGAGTGGTTGGTTGTGAGCTGTTGCTTTGATCCTGGTAAAACCTCAGGCGTGTATTGTCACTCAGAGGAACCATCAGATGTGCGTTTTCCTTTTCCAGAACTGCACCCACCCGCGCCTACGTGAACGAAATAATACAATTTTCGCAGCGCCGTGGTGCTCCCAAGCTCAATGGTGCAAGAAACTGGACTGCTTCTGGCTCCGCTGCAAGTCCTGTGATCTATTCTGTCCTGTCCTGCCCATCCCCCCTATCTACCTAACACAGCTTTTCTTTGCCCTTTCACTCCGACTGCTGGAATAATAATTGCATGGTTTGTCTGTGTGTCCTGGCTGTCTAAAACGGTTTTGTAACAGAGGGCGCCATTGGAACACTGTGAAGCGTGTGGTGGCAAGAACCTTTTTGAACTCCATTTGTGTGGTCTTCACCATTGGTTACGTACGAGCGGAAGAATAACAGTTGAATTGTAACGCCCTCGAAACTGTAACGGGGCATATGAACAGACCGCGTATAAGTCCATCTTCCTGTTGCTCTACCTACAGACATGCACCGACCCAGAAGATATCCACGAACATCAGGACGCGAGTCCTATCCCCGACAACACCAAACCGGCAGAATGTTTTACTGATTGTTCCCCTCCCTTAGTTATGTAAACTTTTTACTTCGCTCGCTGCGTGACAATAAGTGTTTCCCGGGACTCTGTCTTTTCGCCACGATTCCGTATCCGAGTGCGTGCGTTGAGCGGGTCCATATTGACTCCCCGTGTTTTGTTACAGCGAGTTCTCGAGGTTACCGGTACCACGCAGTAGAACCTGCTACATGACAGTAGCATTCCTAATTGTCTCTTGTTTCAGACACAATCGAATACCGAGTAACAAATAACTACTACCAGGACCTCCGTCCGTTACTGAGCAATAAACCTACCACAAGAACCCAGGCTACTCGAAAACTTCGGTTCCCAAGCCCGTGAATCCCCGTGGACTGACTGGACCAAAGCCATACCCACTAGTGGAGTACCACAGGGCTCAGTGCTTGGTCGCCTACTGTTCCTCATTTTTATAGACGACTTGGCTACCATCCTACGTTCACCATGCATCNCATGCATCATGTTTGCAAATGATGTCAAGATCGTGGGATCAGCCAGCCGGCAGCAATTGCAGGATGACCTGCGTAGAACAACGGAACGGGCAACAGTATGGGACCCCCCATTGAATGCGGAGAAAAGTAATTTACTTTCTCATGCTGATGAACAGTTGTCAATCCATTTAGGTGGAGGGGATTTCACTGCATGGATTGTAAAAACCAGCAGAGACTTAGGAATATCGGCGGCGGCAGATTTCCGCTGGGAGAACCAGTGTGTACTGGCTGCAGCGAGGGCGAGGAGAGAGCTGTTCAGGCTCAAATCGGTACTATCGTGTAGGAAACCCGACGTATTCCTTCCCCTGTACAAAGCCATAATTAGGCCGCACTTAGAGTACTGCGTGCAGGCTTGGGCACCCTTCCTCAAAAAGGATGCAGCCTGTTTAGGGAACGTTCAAAGACTAGCCACCCGAATGATTGAAGGCCAAT